CAAAGCTGTAGTCCTAGGGACGCATGGTCTTCACACTCACATGTTGAGGCTGTCTCTCTGAGTCATCCCTCTATTTCTGATTAAAATCAAACATCACACATGGGCCATGGCATCTGGCTTCCCAAGTGGACACCAAGGTCCAAAGGATGAAACCTCTATGTCAGTTCCTATAGGATAACCTTGACCAATGGGAAATGGGAAGCACCAGGGAGTTGGGCAGATAAATTGCTCCTCCTTTCTCCCTTCTGTGGATTACTCCAACATGTGATTTCACTTTGCACCCTGTCTGAAGAAAGTTCTCCTTGCCAAGTGAAATGCTTTCCAAACAACTGGCCACTGCACTTTGCAGCTCATTTTGAAGTAGCCAATGCAGTAACATTGTTTGCATCTGTTTTTTGCTGCACTTCTCCTTTCCTCACCACTCTGAGCTTTGTCTCCCTCTTCTAGAAACACCTTTCCCCACCTTCTTTGACCCTACTCATCCTCCGCAACTCAGCTAAATCTCAAGTCTTCTGAGATCTCAACCCCCTACGCGCACACACACACACACACACACACACACCCCAGGCTAAATTAGGGGCTTCTGAGGGGGGGTTCCCTTAGCACCAGCCTACACCACTAACCCACTACAAGCTTTAATAAGTATCTGCTAGGATACTTATTAAAATACTGATACTGCCAAAGCAATCAGACAAGGGAAAGAAATAAAGAGCATCCAAATTGGAAATCAAACTGGAAGTCAAACTATTGCTGTTTGCCAATAATATGATGGTACACCTAGAAAACCCTAAAGACTCAACCATAAAGATCCTAGATCTGATACATTCAGTAAAGTCTCAGGATACAAAATCAATGTACATAAGTCAGTAACACTGCTGTACACCAACAATGACCAACCTAAGAATCAAATCAAGAACTCAATCCCTTTTACAACAGCTGCAAAAACAAACAAACAAACAAAAAGCTTAGGAATGTACTTAACCAAGGAGGTTAAAGATCTCTGTAAGGAAAACTACAAGGAACTCTACAAGGAAAACTCTACAAGGAACTCTACAAGGAAAACACTGCTGAAAGAAATCAGAGATGACACAAACAAATGGAAACACATCCCATGCTCATGGATGGTAAGAATCAATATTGTGAAAATGACCATACTGCCCAAAGCAATCTACAGATTCAATGCAATTTCCATCAAAACACCTTCATCATTCTTCACAGCACTAGAAAAAACAATCCTAAAATTCAAATGGAACCAAAAAAAGTCCGTATAGCCAAAGCAATATTAAGCAAAAAGAACAAATCTGGAGGCGTCACATTATCCAGTTTCAAATTATACTACAAGGCTATAGTTATCAAAACTGCATGGTACAGGTATAAAAATAGGCATGTAGACCAATGGAAGAGAATAGAGAACCCAGAAATAAAGCCAAATACATACCACCAATTGATCTTTGACAAAGTGTACAAAAACATAAATTGGGGGTGCTGGATGTGGTGGCTCAATGCCTGTAATCTCAGCACTTTGGGAGGCCAAGGCAGGCAGATGGCTTGAGCCCAGGAGTTCGAGACCAGCCTGGGCAACATGGCAAAACCCCATCTCTACAAAAAGTACAAAAATTGGCCGTGTGTGTTGGTGCATACCTGTAGTCCCAACTACTTGGGAGACTAAGGTGGGAGGATTGCTTGAGCCCAGGAGGTTGAGGCTGCAGTGAGCCGAGATCGTGCCACTGCTTTCCAGCCTGGGTGACAGAGTGAGACCCTGTTTCAAAAAATAAACAAATAAATAGATTGGGGAACAACATCCTATTCAATAAACGGTTCTGAGTAAACTGGCAAGCCACATGTAGAAGAATGAAACTGGTTCCCCATTTCTCACCGTATAATAAAATCGACTCAAGATGGATTAAAGACTTAAATCTAAGGCCTGAAACCACAAAAATTCTAGAAGATAACATCCAAAAAACTCTTCTGAACATTGACTTAGGCAAATAATTCATGACTAAGACCCCAAAAGCAAATTCAACAAAAACAAAAATAAATAGATGGGAAACTAATTAAACTAAAAACTTCTGAATAGTAAAAAAAGTAATCAGCAGAGTAAACAGACAACCCACAGAGTGGGAGAAAACATTCTCAAACTGCATCCAACAAAGACTAGTGCCCAGAATCTCAAGGAACTCAAATCGGCAAGAAAAAAAAACAAATAGGCCAGGCGCGGTGGCTCATACGTGTAATCCCAGAACTTTGGGAGGTTGAGGTGGGTAGATCACCTGAGGTCAGGAGTTCGAGACCAGCCTGACCAACATGGAGAAACCCCATCTCTACTAAAAATACAAAATTAGCCATGCGTGGTGGCGTATGCCTGTAATCCCAGCTACTCAGGAGGCTGAGGCAGGAGAATCGCTTGAACCTGGGAAGCGGAGGCTGCAGTGAGCCAAGATCATGCCATTACATTCCAGCATGGGCAACAAGAGTAAAACTCCATCTAAATAAAAATAAAAATAAAAAATAATAATCCCATCAAAAAGTGAGCAGAGGACATGAATAGACATTTCTCAAAAGAAAGTATACAAACAGCCAACAAACATATGAAAAAATGTTCAACATCACTAATCATCAAGGAAATGCAAATTAAAACCACAATGAGACACCACCTTATTTCTGCAAGAATGGCCATAATTAAAATGTCAAAAAAACAATAGATGTGGCGAGGTGCGGTGGCTTATGCCTGTGATCCCAGCACTTTGGGAGGCTGAGGCAGGGGTATCACCTGAGATCAGGAGTTCGACCAACCCCATTTTTTCTACTAAAAATACAAAAATTAGCCAGGCGTGGTGGCATTCACCTGTAGTCCCAGCTACTCAGGAGGCTGAGGCAGGAGAATCACTTGAACCTGGGAGGCAGAGGTTGCAGTGAGCTGAGATCGCACCACTGCACTTCAGCCTGGGTGACAGAGTGAGACTTCATCTCAGACACAGACACACAGACACACACACACAAATAGATGTTGGCATGGATGTGGTGAAAAGGCAACAGTTTTACATTGCTGGTGGGAATGCAAATTAGTACAACCACTATGAAAAACAGTATGGATATTCCTTAAAAAACAAAAGTAGAAATACCATTACTTCCAGCAATCCCACTACTGGGTGTCTATTCAAAGGAAAAGAAGTCCTTCTATAAAAAAGACACATGCACACACATGTTTATAGCAGCACAATTTGCAATTGCAAAGATATGAAACCAACCTAAGTGCCCATCAACCAAAGAGTGGACAAAGAAAATGTGGTGTATCTGCATCATGGAATACTACTCAGCCATAAAAAGGAACGAAATAATGTCTTTTGCAGCAACTTGGTTGGAGCTGGAGGCCATTATTCTAAGTGGAGTAACTCAGGAATGGAAAACCAAATATCGTATGTTCTCACTTATAAGTGGGAGCTAAGCTATGAGGACACGAAGGCACGAGAGTGATATAAGGGAATTTGGGGACTTGGGGGGAAGGTTGGGTGAAGAATAAAAGACTACATATTGGGGGCAGTGTACACTGCTTGGGTGACAGGTGCATTAAAATCTCAGAAATCACCACCAGATAACTTATCTGTGTAACCAAAACCCAACTGAACCCCAAAAACTATTAAAAATTTAGAACACGTTTTTAAAAGTAAGAAAACAGTACATAATTTTTTGAAAAACAGTAAGTCTTGGCAAGTACATCTCCCCCACCTGACATCTTGAGACAAAATTTTTTTTCCTCTCTGAGTTCTCAGTACCAAGAACAGTGCACAGCACATAGTCATGAACCTTTGGCCTAAATCACAGTGAAATTAGTGAAAGGAAGTCTAGCTTCTAGTCCCAGCATTCATACCAACTTCTTAGCCACTGAAAGGCCCTGGCCAAGACACTCCTCTGAGCTTCTGGTAAATGGGGATAATGTTCCTGTCCCCTTCTTAGTTTGTGAAGATCAATTCAGAGAGAAATGGGGTTGGTCCTTTGGTATGGTGGGAAGTCTAAGCACATTGAAAGTTTAAGACATCAGCACCGGCCAATGCAGTGGCTCACGCCTGTGGAGGTCAAGGTGAGTGGATCACTTGAGGTCAGGAGTTCAAGACCAGCCTGGCCAACATGGTGAAACACTGTCTCTACTAAAAATACAAAAATCAGCCTGGTGATTGGTGGTACAACCTTGGTGGTGCAAGCCTGTAATCCTAGCCACTCGGGAGGCTGAGGCACAAGAATCCCTTGAACCTGGGAGGCGGAAGTTGCAGTGAGCTGAGATTGTGTCACTGTAGTCCTGCTAGACTCTGTCTAAAAAAAAAAAAAAAAAAGACATCAACAGTGATGTTATTAACAGCAACTGCTGATAGTGTTGATACTAATGATGACCAGCTTAGCTGGAGGAATTCTCCTTCCTTCCTCCAGGATTGCCTGGTTTTGCCCTAACTCAGTTCCATTATCTGCTGAATGATGGAATCCAGTCCCCCTCCTCTCTAACTCCTTGTCTCATAAATTTCTTTTTTTATTATTAATTTTTAAAAATAGAGATGGGATCTCCCTGTGTTGCCCAGGGCTGATCATGAACTCCTGGGCTTAAGCGATCCTCTCGCCTGAGCCCCCCAAAGTACTGGGATTACAGGCGTGAGACACCATGCCCAGACTCATAGATTTCATATGTCCTCAAAAAGTCCTTCCAGAAGTCTAACCCACATCCTTCCTGTTGCAGCCCTGCCCCCTCCCTTCCTCATGTCTCCTCAAAGCATGACCCATAAGCACCTTGTGTGGCTTATCCTTGAGGCTGACATCCCCATTCCCACTGCTCAGAACAGGCCCAGAGGCAGAGTGGGAGATTTTCCAGAGAGAAAGAAATAGAAGCCAAGAGAGATGAGAGAGAGAGAAAGGGAAGTTCTAGTTTGGGGTGAGGGAGCAGAGAAAGAATCTGGAGGGATGAAGGTCAGGTAGCAGTAAGGACTTCCTAACACCTAAACACAGAGTGACACAGATACCCCCCACCGCTATACCACCGCTATCTACAGCTGCGTGGCTTCCGGGGGTGGGACAATCGTCTTAAGGCTTTCCATGACGTGGGTCCTCTGCCAGAACTAAGGCTGTGGGTAAGGCGACATTTCCTGCCCCTGGGGCCAGGGTGAAAGGAGAGATGAAGAGTTGCTGAGTGTGCACACCTTTCCAGAGCACATACACACACCCTGCTCTGGGATCCCTTGTCAGGCTGCCCCCATGGAGTTCCCCCTGGCCCAGATATGTCCCCAAGGTAAGTGTGAAGTTGGAGGATATGGGTGGGAGGGGGCACCAAGACCCCCATCCCCCTGCCCTCCCTCCTGGGCTTGAGCTCCCACTTCAGGGATGAGGGGCCCCACTCTAAGCCAGAGCTGGCAAGGCTGAGAGGCAGGGCGACCACAACCCCGCCTGGGGCTCCGTGCCCACTCATCCCTGAGGATAAAGGTGACAGGGTTTTTTGAGCGCTTCTCAGAGAGGAGAGAGGAGGGAGCAGGAGGATGAAGGGAGGAGGAAGCAAAAGATCCTGGACCAGAAGAAGGGCCTGCCCTGAAGTGATCTGCCTCCCTGGCCATCCGAAGGCCAGCCTGGCTCCCATCTTCTCTTTCTAGGCACCTGGTGTCCCTGACAACCTCCTCTGGCAGCATTAGCCCCCCTCACGCCCCCTTGGCTACTTATCCTCATGCCTGAGAAACTCCCCTGCTGCCCTTCTGCGTTTTTCCTGTCATTAAGACTGTCCCAGCCCTACAGATCCCTGAACCTGGGAGGAGGGGTGGGAGGCAGAGATAGACACAGTCCCCCTCTGAGAAACCCCGACAGCCCTCTTTGTGCTCACAGGGAGTCACGAAGCCCCCATCCCAACCTTCAGCACCTTCCAGATCACGGACATGACCCACAGGAGCTGCCGGAACCTGGGCTACACTGCGGTGGGTAGAAACCTGGGGCGGCAGCGGGGTGCAGCTCCCTCATCTCTCCCACCCTCCCATGGGGAAGGATTTGCAGATGGACAAAGGCCACCCCGAGAGAAGGCAGGAATGATCCGGGTCTGCCAACGGGCTGGGGTACAGAGGGAGAGAACGAAAATGGGGAGTACCTCCTTCATGCACTGAGTTGCCCACTCACTCCCATGCTGCTCCTAGGCCCTCCGGAAGCTCAGGCAGAGTCCGCAGGTGACCAGGATGCAGCGCATTGAGTCCCAGAAGCAGGCATCTGCCCTCTGTGTCAGTGACCTTCATTCACCCGGTGCATTCCACGTCTCAGCCCTTCCCTCCCGCCCACTCAAGAATTTTCTCTGTGAACTAGCTCAGTCCCTCATATTGTGGAGTAAGCCCTCCCTCATTCTGGCCTTTAGCGTGACTTCCGGCATCATGTTCCTTCATCCTCCAGGCCAGGGAATGACTCTATCCATCTGGAAGGCTGTGCTGCCTTTCCCGTCCCTCCTGGAGCACAGTGTGACAGCTCACTGCTGCTGGATTAAAAGCCCTCAGGACCCAGAGGGCAGAGGAAGGAGAGTCTCTGGAAGCCAGAACAGCTGGAGCTGAAGAAGGGATTTAAGTTAGACTTTAGGAAGGACTTTCTGGGCAATTGTACCCTAAAATAGACAGGAGAGGCTGGGTATGAGGAAAAGAAGGTGGCAGGTGGATCAAAGTCAGGAGAAGGCCCACCCATCATGCTGCTTCCCCCTCCTTGAACTCTTCCCTGATCCAGGCATCTCCCCAGGCCCTGGAGGCTGCCTCCATCCCAGGGAACGCTGAGAGGGCAGAGGAGGTGCCTGGAGAAGGAAGCCTGTCCCTGCAGGCCAAGACCCGGGCTTGGTTCCAGAAGACCCAGGCCCACTGGCTCCTGCAGCATGGGGCAGCCCCTGCCTGGTTCCATGGCTTCATCACCCGGAGGTGAGTCATGGAGGAGGAAATTGGCCCAGACAGGGGCAGGGCAAGTCCTGGGTCTGGGTCCTGCCACCTGCCAGGAATAGATGAAGGCTCCCACTTTTACCAGTCTGGAGCAGATGGAGGTGCCCACTCCAGGCTCCCACTCCCAGAGTTTTCTAGGCCTTTCACTGAGGCATCTCTCCAGGGGAGATCATTGGAGAGGCTCCAGTCCAGGCCTCTCTGTGCCTCAGCTTCCTCTCTCTAGGCCCCATTATCCTCCTGTCCCTAAGGCCTCAAATGCTGGTATTTTCCACCTCTCTCTCCCTCCAGGCTTACTCCATCTTTATCTCCCAGCCCTCTTTTCTTCCACCCTTGCAGATCCTCCCTCCTCCATTTCTCAGCCTCATTTCTCCCTATCTCTTTGTTCACCTCCTCAGTTCAGTTTTGACTTCGGAAATCTGGAAGTCCAACTACTTTCCCATCTCTGTTGCTTCAGTAGCAGCCCCTACAGGCTGCCCTTCCAGGATGAGGCCAGGGGAGGAAGCGGGGGTCTCCTGAATGGGACCCCTGGCCCCTGTCCACCCCTAGTCCCTGCAGCGGGAGAACAGCTCCCACATGCTCTCTCTCCCCATCTCAACCCTAGCCTTTCTCTAGCCGCTCCAGCATTCTTGCTTGGGGGTAAGGGTTCCTCGTGAGAGCTGGGAGACAGAGGCGAGGCTGGAAGTGTCAGAGCAGGTTTCGGCCCCCTCTCTCCGTCACCCACAGGGAGGCAGAGAGGCTGCTGGAGCCCAAGCCTCAGGGATGCTACTTGGTGCGGTTCAGCGAGAGCGCGGTGACCTTCGTGCTGACTTACAGGTGAGGGGCGAGGCCCCGCGCCGGGCGACAGAAGGCGGGGCTCGGGAGGGGCGGGGCTTGGGTCTGATCCCAGGAGGAGCCGAGCTTTTAGCTCAGTCTCCGGGCTGCTGAAAGGGGGGTCACGCCTCGCGCTGGTGGCCCTGGCCGAGGAGTGGGAGATAGTCTGATCCTTAACGACGCCCTCCAGGAGCCGGACTTGCTGCCGCCACTTCCTGCTGGCCCAGCTCGGGGACGGGCGCCACGTGGTGCTGGGCGAGGACAGCGCCCACGAACGGCTGCAGGACCTGCTGCGGCACTACACGGCGCACCCGCTCAGCCCCTACGGGGAGACGCTCACCGAGCCGCTCGCCCGCCAGGTATGCGCCCCGGGCCCTGACCAGAGAGCCCAGGGTCTCAGGCCAGCGCCCCCTCCCCGCCCCCCGACTCAGAGCCCAGGCGTGGGACGCGGCACCAGGCACTTTCTCATCCCAAAACACCACCTGGGCATGCCTCCCTTACCCAGGCATCTTCGTCTTCGTGAGAGGGTGGCAGGCCCTTCGAGAAATATGAGTGCTGGGGGGTCCCTCCTTAAGAGACCAGCCCAGCCACACGGAGACAGAGGGGCAAGGAGAGACCAGGGGCACACAGAGTCATTTGGGGTTTTTTGTTTGGTTTTGTTTTGTTTTAGACACAGTGTCGATCTGTCTCGCAGGCTAGAGTGCAGTGGCGCGATCTTTTCTCCCTGCAAACTCCACCTCCCGGGTTCAAGCGATTCTCCCGCCTCAGCCTCCTGAGTCAGCTTCCCCTCTCCAGGCCCCATTATCCTTCTGTCCCTAAGGCTTCGAATGCTGGTATTTTCCATCTGGTATTTTCAGCTTTGACTTCTGAAATCTGGAAGTCCAACTACTTTCCCATCCCTGTTGCTGCAGTAGCAGCCTCTGCAGACTGCCCTTCCAGGATGAGGCCAGGGGAGGATGCAGGGGTCTCCTGAATGGGACCCCTGAGTAGCTGGGATTACAGGCATGAGCCACTGCGCCCAGCCTAGTCATTTGTTTTTAATATAAGAGATATTTACGGAGTACTTAGGGCCTACCAACTGCTGGCAGGCCCTGAGAATAGACCCATGAACAAGACAGACAGATGGGTCTCAAACTCACAAAGCCTACTTTCCAGCAGTAAAAATGGACAAGTAATAGAAACCCAGTGTGGAGAATGTGATTCAGAAGGAAATACAGGGTACCGTTTAGCCTAGCAGGCAGCGGTGCACAAGTTCAGGCAGTGCTGAGGGACCACTGGGTGCCATGCAACATTCTGGGCACTGGAAAAACAGCAGTGAACTTAAAGGGCTGGAATATCTCTGCCTTCAAGAGCTTCCATTCTAGAAGGAGGAGGCAGACAAGTGAGTAATACAGAAAACAAGCAAAGAAGACAGAGTCTGTCTAGTAATGATAAGTACACACTGACAAGAAAACCAAACAGCTCCACCAGCAGCTCCACCTTCTGGGCAGACCCAGCCTCCAGCCTTCTCATGCCTCCTGGAGGCACCCACCTCTGCTACCCTGGCCCAGGCTGCCATCATTTCATGTGAAATATTGTTGAAGAGTGACAGGGTTGGGGCTGTTCTACACAGGGTGTCAGGGAAGGTCACTCTGGCAAGTGGACATCTGAATAGAGGCCTGTATGAAATAGAAGAGCCATGCAGACAACTGGAGGAAAAGCATTCTCGGCAGCGGGCACAGCAGGTGCAAAGGCCCTGAGGCAGGAGGAGACTTGCTGTGTCTGAGGAATGATGGGAGCAGAGAGGAAGCTAGCATGGGTGGATCCAGTGACTGAAGGATAGAGAAGCAGGAGATGAGATCAGAGGGGTGAGGGAGGGGGGCCCTGTAGACTCTTGTATGCATTTGGAGTTTTATTCTGAGCGAGACGAGATGGCACTGGAGAGTTACAAGCTGAGAGGTGACATGGCCTGGCAAGTTTCGGGAGAGGCAATATTTCACATGAAATGATGGCAGTCTGGGTCAGGGTAGCAGAGGTGGCTGCCTCCAGGAGGCGTGAGGAGGGTGGAGGCTGGTTCTCCTTAGAAGGTGGAGCTGCTGGGTTTTTGCAGGATTGGATGAGGAGTGTGAAAAGATGGACTTGTCATTGACTGAGACGAGGAAAGTTCTAGGAGGAACATGTCTGGGCAGTGGGGGAGGGTCAGGAGTTCTGTTTTCTACACATGCAGTTCAGCATGGAGATGTCAAGTAGGCAGCTGGAATTCAGAGTCGGGACTGGGACAAAGGGATGGGCTGCAGACAAATATTGAGAGTCACCAGCACTCAGAGGGACTCTAAAACCTTTAGGAGGGGTGAAATCTCACTCAGAAGTCAGTGTAGATAGGAAGGAAATGAATGAAGCCCAAGTCTCCAGCATTTAGAGGTTGCAGAAATGAGGGTGAACTGACAAAGAAAATTGAGCAGAGCACTCAGAAAGAGAGGAGAAAAGCCAAAGAGTGTGATGCTCTGGAAGCCAAGTGAAGAAATTGAGTGAAGGCGGGTGAGGGCAGAGGGTGCAATTGACACTGGGTTTGACAGAGAGGAGGTCACTGGTGACCTAGACAAGAAGAGTTTCACAGAACTTGATTTGGGTCAGTTAAAACAAGTGGGGACAGTGCCTGTGGTCACTGCCTCTTTTGTGAGGAACAGGCAGACACCTGAGATTCATAGAGCATGGGGAAGTCTGGGGGTGAGGAGGAGCCAGCCTGACCTGAGAAGGCTGAAGGCAGAGTTGTAGAAGTCTGAGATCACACAGAGTCTTGTCACTCAAGCTCTCAGGATTCTGACTTATCCTGGGGCAATGGGTAACCACCCAAGGATTGCTGGGGGAGTTTCTGTAAGATTGCTCTGCTCAAAGACTGGAGAGTGGGTTGGAAGGGCAAGACGATGCAGGGGGAGGAGTCAGGAGGCCTCAGCTAGGGTGCTGGCTGTGTGCATGCAGAAAAGTACACAGATGTGAACAATATTTAGACAGCGGAAGGAGCAGGACTTGTGTTTGATTTCATGTCGAGAGGGAGAAGGTGGAGGCATCAAGGCTGACTCCTAAGGTGCTGTTTCGGCAGCAGGGTGGAGGTGCTACTTTTTATTCAGGAAGGAGATGCTGAGAGAGGAGGGGGTTAGGGCAGGAAAAGGAATTCTTTGGATTCCATAGTACACCTGCAGTACACCTCCCAATGGAGACGTGCACTTGGTGGATTGCAGGAGCACAAGAAAAGCCCTGTGACCTTAGCCTACACTGGCAGCAGGCATGGGGACAGCATTCATGGACCAAGGGCTAACACTGAACTAAAAGCACACCGTCTGTGAGATGGAACCATCCCACATGGGGTTCCTCTCTCCTGAGGTGGTCTCTGCCCTCAAAAATTTTAGCTTATGGCCAGGTGCAGTGGCTTACATCTGTAATCCCAGCACTTTGGGAGGCCAAGGTGGAGGATCACCTGAGGTCAGGAGTTCGAGACCAGTCTAGCCAACATGACAAAACCCCATCTCTACTGAAAAATACAAACATTAGCTGGGTGTGGTGGTGGGTGCCTGTAATCCCAGCTACTTGGGAGGCTGAGGCAGGAGAATCTCTGGAACCCAGGAGGCGGAGGTTGCAGTGAGCCGAGATTGTGCCACTGCACTCCAGCCTGGATGACAGAATGAGACTTGGTCTTAAAAACAAAAACAAACAAACAAAAAACCTTCAGCTTATATCTCCATAAATTAACCAGCGGTACAGAAATAAACACAAGCACAGCTGTCATGGAGATTGGTCCCCATGCCAATAATTTTTCAGCTAAAGATGTGTAAAGCCATGTTGCATTTTCACAACCACAGGCACAAATGGAATCTGGCCTTGCCCTGTGATCCAGATGAAATTAAGTTTAATGCAGCCAAGTGTGGTGGCTCACACCTGTAATCCTAAAACTCAGGAAAGCTGAGGTGGGAGGATCATTTGAGCCCAGGAGTTCAAGACCAAGCCTGGGCAATATACTGAGACCCCATCTCTACAGAAAATGAAAACACAGTTAGCCAGGGTGGTGGTGCATGCCTGTAGTCCCAGCTACTTGGGAGGCTGAGGCAAGAGGATAGCTTGAGCCCAGGAGATCAAGGCTTCAGCGAGCTGAGACTGCACCACTACACTTCAGCCTGGGCAACAGAGCGAGACTCTAGCTCAAAAAAGAAAAACTTTAATGCTAGATATGGCCTGTGACCAGAGCTTACCACTGCCTCCATCCGACCCTGGGTCTCCTCACCATCGCCACCCCCTCTTCCTCATCCAGGGAACCCAGCACAGGCCAAATTTCTGTGCCCCTCCCCCTTCTCCCATCCTCCACTTAGACTGGATTATTTTGTCCTCCTGATCACTTCCCCCTCCCCAATGCTCCACCAAGTCCCTCAGACCTCCTTCTTTCCCAGCAGACTCCTGAGCCTGCAGGACTTCCCCTGAGGACCGAAGAATCAAACTCTGGAAGCAAAAGCCAGGACCCAAACCCCGAGTACAGCCCAATCATCAAGCAGGGGCAAGCCACAGTCCCAGTGCAGAAAGAAGTGGCCGGGGAGAAGGAGGTATTGGGTTGGAGGGGCTGAGGGAGCTGGAGGACAGGCCTGCGAGGGGATGCAGGCAGCGGGGAGGAGGAGGGGCCTAGCGGGGGCAGAGGCTCAGGCTGGGACTTACGATGGGGCTTTAACCCTGCCTCCCTCACCCCACTCCTCCCTGGCCTCACCTTCTCTCCCAGCCCTCCCAGACACTCAGGCCCAAGCCTCCCATCCCTGCCAAACCTCAGCTGCCCCCAGAAGTTTACACGAGCCCTGTTTCACGACGCCTCCCGGCCCCACCCCCCAAGCCCTCCAATCCTATCTACAACGAGCCTGATGAGCCCATAGCCTTCTACGCCATGGGCCGGGGCAGCCCCGGGGAAGCCCCCAGCAACATCTATGTGGAGGTGGAAGATGAGGGCCCACCTGCCACCCTTGGGCACCCTGTCCTACGGAAGAGCCGGTCCAGGCCTGTCCCAGGAGGCCAGGTAAACTGGGAAAGGTGCAGGGAAAGGTGGGTTCGAGAAGGTCTCCCTGCAGGTAGATGGGGGAAGGTGAAGGTGTTCAGAGTGGATGCCTGGGGCAGGGTAAGGGGCAGAGGTGTGAGGTGATGTGGGAAGGACAGAATGATCCAGGTGCCAGCCTCCCTTCTCCAGGCCCAGAGACTGCCCCCTCTTCTCCCCAGAGTCACTCAGACCTCATCTTTGTCAAGCCCCCATGCCCTCCTACCTCACAGAGAAAACAGAGGCCCCCAGGCAGGGTGCCCCTTCACCTCCCCCATCGAGGCTTTTTTGATCTGTGTCCATCTTGTCCTGCAGGCCCTCTTCGGACGCACCTGGGGCTGACCCCGCCCCGTGCCTCTCTGGCTCTCTCCCTTGGCCTTCACGGCCCTGCTGTCCTGGAGAAAAAGAGCACTTGGGGTCCCTTATTCAGAGGAGGGGGACTCTCCTCTCCCAGCTCCTTCTGTGTACTCCCTGTCTCCCTCTTCCTTCTCCCCAGACCTAAGTCTGCTTGCCTACCCTTCAAGTCAGTACCTCATGCCATGGGTTAGCCCCAGCAGCCATCCCACCCTCTCCGTTGGTCTCTGCGGCCCTCCCAAAGCCCTTCCCCAGCCTCTCTCCTCAGACTCTTCCCCACCCTCCCTCCCTGCTGGTGCCCCAGGCTCCCCGCTCAGCCTGAGCCTGCTTGTCCTCACCCACACCCCTGCCAACGCCTGCTGTCCTAGAGCTGATGTCACCTGTCCATATCTCCATCCAAACTTCTCTCCAAGCTTCTGGTCAGTTCCCCTCAGCATCCCTCAGCCCTTCAAACTCAACACAGCCAACACCACTCTCACCCTTGCCCTCCAAACAGCTCGGTTCTATGTTTCCTGTCCTGACTGCTAAGTCTCTAGCCACCCAGCTAGCCAAGTCAGAATCCCAGGGCTCCCTCAGCACTGCTCCTTCTTCACTCCCCCGGTAAGCCACTCATTCATGCTGGATCTCTTCCTAAGTATATTTTTCCTTTCCCCAGCTCCAGCCTCCATCATTGGGGTCTGGCTTTGTCACCCAGGCTGGAGTGTAGTGGCACAATCATAGCTCACTGCAAACTTGAACTCCTGGGTGCAAGTGATCCTCCCGCCTCAGCTGAGATTACAGGCTCGAGCCACCTTGCCTGGCTCCCAAGAGCTTCTTAACTGGTTTCCTAACCACCATACTTGCCACTTCTGATCCACTCTGCACCAAAAAAGCCAGAATGGTCTTGCTGAAGCAGCTGCCTGGCCCGCGATGCACTCTAGACTTGGGTGAGGGGGGTCTCACCTCCTTAGCGTTACCACCAGCTGCTCCCATTCTCCTAGAATGATTCATATTTCTCTAAACCAAGTGGTTTCAAGCCTCCTGGGGTTTGCACCCACCAGTATCTCTGCCTATAGCGACTTTCTGCAAGCTCATCCTCCCGCTGCCTGGCAACTTTCTAATCATCCTTCAAGACCAGCTTTCCCTTCTCAGAGGCCACAGAGGCCACCCCCTGTGCCTTACACACACCTGCCACGACACTGATCACATGAGACACCCATCTCTTCCCATCTCCTTCTCTCTGTCCCTTCCCTAGTTTAGAGTGTGAGCTCCCTGAAGGGTGGGCTGGGACTTACCCATCTATTTCCAAAGCATCCAGCCCAGTGCCTGGCACAGAGCAGGTGCTCAGGAGATGTTTGTTGAATTAATGAATGACAGGAGTTTATACACCCTCTCTGGAAGCCAAAGTCTGTTCAGATCAGATGTCTTGAGACTGCAGGTACACCTAGGAGGCAGAGGGTAGAGGGTGTGACCTAGAACTGTCCTTCTCTCTGCAGAATACAGGTGGCTCCCAGCTGCATTCTGAGAACTCTGTGATTGGGCAAGGCCCTCCCCTGCCCCACCAGCCCCCACCCGCCTGGAGACACACCCTCCCCCACAATCTTTCTAGACAGGTGCTTCAGGACAGAGGACAGGCATGGCTCCCCCTTGGGCCTCCTCAGTAGGCGGTGAGTCTGAGCTTGGTGAGGATAACTTGGAGTATAAGGTCCAGAGACCCTCACACACACCTGGCACCCTTCTCAGGAAATGTGGATGGAATAAACCATAGTTGATCAAAGCTGGAAAGGACCTCAGCCATCATCAATTGCAAGGATGGCAAAGAGGTGTCATCTTGCATGCCAACTCCAATCCATTGGTCGTGGCTGCCTAGAGTGCTGCATTGGAAAGGATGTTAAGGTTATATCTGAACTCAGCAGAAAAAATCACATGATTGATTAGTGATGTCTGCCATGGGTAAGGGCGGGAGGATGAGCAGCATTACATTTGTCCTTACTGATCAAATTCAACTCCCTCACTATGCAGAAAAGAAAACGTAGCCTGAGAGGCACAGTGACTTGGCCAAAGTCAAGGACTAGAACCCAGGCTTCCTGATTCCCCGTTTAGTACTCTGTTTCTTACCACACATCCACAAACTCCAGTCCATAGGAAACATCAGAGATTTCCTCAAACAGGAAGTCTGGCCACTTTCCAGAGTTCTACTGCATGGAGGCCTGGGTGCTTGCTGGGTCCCCTCCTGTGGATCCTGGCTTAACTCTGTCCCCCGACAGGTCCGGCCTGACCCCCAACAAAGAAGCCTGGAGGTCAGAGAAGCAAATGTGGAGCCTGCTCCCTCCTAAGAGATCCCAAGAATCCAATGGCTCAGTCCTTGATGATCTAAGACAGCAAAGAAGTGTGCGAGGAGGGCCCTGCTGGCTCTCACTGTCCTGGTTTCTCCTCCTGGAGTCTAATTTCCTTGGCCCTCTGAGCCTTTGAGTCTGGGCCCTGGTCCAATGCTGCTGTTGTCTGAGGAATGGTTTGGTGAGAACAGATGTTAGAACTTGTTTGTTGATTCTTGTCTGGCTAATAAATCATCACCAACTGCCTTCCCCTACAGGGATTCAAGTCCTCCAGGCTCCTTCTGTCTCTGTCTCTGACTCTCTCTCTCTCATACTGTGGAAGGCAAGGGGTTGAACTGCCACTGCAGTGAGGGTGGAAGGGCTTGAGGATTGACAGACACCAAGGCCAGGGACACAAGACCTCTGCAAAGTATTCCTTCTCTGGCTGGGATGGGTTGAGTAGGCAGGCAGGGACATAGGGGTGGCTGCACCACTTGAGGCATAAAGAAAGAGGGGCAGAGAGGTGAGCAGTTGAAGGACAGCCCCTTCACCTCCTCTGCAACACCCCTGCCAAGTACAGGACTGGAGAGGAGGAAGATGTGTGTGTGAGCCCCTTAAGAGGACAGGAATCCCCTTGGAACTGGCTCCAGGCCTCTCATTTTCCTAGCCTCTTGGGCTTAGGCCCTTTGCCTCAATCAGGATTCCATTCTCTCCCATGTCCCTCTTGCTTCCCCTTTCTCTGCCCAGAACCACTTCAGAGCCAGCCTCCTGTTCCCATGCAAAGCTCTGGGGCTCTGGCGTATGCCCTGGGCCTTACTTTTGTCACAGACTGGGGACTTCCCTTTTTTTTTTTTTTTTTTTTTTTAAGACAGGGTCTTGCTCTGTCGCCCAGGCTGGAGTATAGTGGCATGATCATAGCTCACTGCAGCCTTGAACTCCTGGGCTCAAGGGATCCTCCTGCCTTAGCCTCCCAAGTTGCTGGGACTACAGGTGCCCATCACCAAGCCCGGCTGGGCGTGGTGGCTCACGCCTGTAATCCCAGCACTTTGGGAGGCCGAGGTGGGTAGATCACCTGAGGTCAGGAGTTTGAGACCAGCCTGGCCAATTTGGTGAAACCCCGTCCATCTCTACTAAAAATACAAAAGTCAGTCAGGCGTGATGGCACATGCCTGTCATCCCAGCTACTCAGGAGGCTGAGGCAGGAGAATTGCTTGAACCCGGGAGGCAGAGGTTGCAGTGAGCCAAGATCGCGTCACTGTACTCCAGCCTGGGTGACAGAGAAAGACTCCGTCTTGGGGGAAAAATAAAAATAAATAAATAAATATATAAATATATAAATAAATAAAAATTATAGAAAGAGGGTCTCACTATGTTGCCAGAGCTGGTCTCAAACCCCTGGCCTCAAGCTATATTCCTGTCACAGCCTCCCGAAATGCTAGGATTAAAGGCATGAGCCACCATGCCCAGCCAGACAGGGGGCTTTCCAAGGCAGGGCAGTGTCTGCCCCTGGATCATCCTCAGGGCTCAGAGCAGAGACGGCCCCTCCAGAGCTGCCCAGGCCTGGGGACTCCTGTGGTCCCATCTGTGCAGCCTGTTCTTTTCACATTCATTCCTATAAGAGTCTAGTCCAGGCAATCAGCACCTGTCAGGGCCCCTGTACCTACCTGAGGCACAGGAATCTTCCAGACCATTTCCTTAAGCCACAGTCCCTAGGCCTGGGCACTGCCACCACCGCACCACCCCCAGCCTGGCCCAGGTGCCAGCTCCAGTGACTGGCCAATTCCCCTCCTTTCCACTCCAGTGCTAATCGGCTTAAGGAGAAATATGGTTGCTGAGTCAACAGAGTTGGGGTTCCACTTCCCTTCCCTTTGTTTAGACCTCAGATCTAAATGCCCTCCTGAGCAAGAGGAGAGGTGGGGAGAGAGGCAGAGGGGCAGGGAGGGAGGAGCAGAGGACTTTGCTGAAATCAGAGAGGAGGCTGAAAGTGCCAGAAAGGTCTCAGATTAGACGCATGGAGTCAGTTACCTCGTGGCTGATTCCTTGGGGCAGGGGAGGAAGCAGAAAAGAGTGGCGTATTGATTGTACAGCAAGAGACAGAAATCAGAAAGTCAGAAAATACATTTCCCCAGACTTTGGGGTGTAACAGAATGGGCAGGTGTGGGGAGGGGGCCAGAAATGCCTAGTGACCCACTTGGTGTTTCTAGAGGAGAAAGCCTGGGGCAGAACAGGGGCAGGAGCAAAGCCAGGGGCAGAGCAGGACCTAGGGACCCTCTTCTTCCTTCTGTGACTCCACAGAGCATGCGGTGGACACACCAAAGCGGTGGTGGAGCTCAGATGAACCTATGGCATCAAGAGCCCTGGGTCTGTTGTGGCGCTGTGCTAACTAGTTGTGCAACCTTCAGCAGGGGAACCCTTGTTCTGTGCCTCTGCTCCCTCCATTCTTTATGCTGGAGATAATGCCTCATTGCACACACATGAGACCATGCAAGTGAAGGGCTTTGAAAAGCAGTACTGCTGGGTCTAGAAGGGACTTCAGAGACCCTTAATGACAGAGTTTTTGGCTCAACTAAAGAGGAAACTGAGGTCTAGAGAGGGGAGGTGACAGGGAGCCAAAGGCAGTAAGGCCCAGGGCCCAGATCTTGTTGTCTCAACCCAGGGTTCCTCTTAATACCACGGGGCCCCTCCTAGGCTAAAGGATAAGGTCCCAGTTCTGCTGAGGGCCACAGCTGGAGGCCCAGACCTGAAGACCAAGGTGGTGGAACCTCCCTCCCCTTCACCAGGGGCACCCCTGCACGATCCCGCTGACTTTACTCCTCCAAGCTGAGGCCTGGGGCTGCGGTGAGACCTCAGGAGGGAGAAGTTGAGTAACTTGTACAGGAAAAGTGAACTGGGGCGATTATGCTGAGCAAGACTCCACATGCCAAGAGGGGGAGGGCATTTCTCACCAACAGTCTTCCCATGGTCATTCCATCCCTCCTCCTGCCTCCTCCAGGTAGAGCCTCTCTGGCTGAGCCCACTGTTATATCTGTGAAAGGGCAACCTCTCACCCTGTCACAGCACATGGAAGACCTTGCTGTGAACAGAGAGCACGGCTCCCACTACAGGGTCCAGCTTTGTCCTCCAGCCCCTGCCTCTTCAGTTCCATGCCTTACCCTGATGGCTCTTTCCTGCTCCAGCCTCCCCTGAGCTGCCCCTTTCTTCCTATCTGCTCCCTCAACTAATGCAGCACAGTCTCAGTAAGGTGATCTGTAACTGGCTCAGGGGCTTCTCAGGGGGACTGAAGAGCTAACATCACATCCCATGAACCCACTCAGGGAGGGGTGGGGCTGGTCATCACTGAGTCCTCACCTGAAAGAAAGCTAAACTTAGGCCAGGTGCGCTGGGCGCGGTGGCTCACGCCTATAATCCCAACACTTTGGGAGGCCGAGGCAGGTGGATCACCTGAGGTCAGGGATTCGAGAACAGCCTGGCCAACATGGTGAAACCCAGTCTCTACTAAAAATACAAAAAAATTAGCTGAGCGTGGTGGCATGCGCCTGTGATCCCAGCTACTCAGGAGAATCACTTGAACCCGAAAGGCAGAGGTTGCAGTAAGCCAAGATTGCACCACTGCACTCCAGCCTGGGCGACACAGAGAGACTCCACCTCAAAAAAAGAAAAAAGAAAAAGAAAGCTGAACCTAGAGGGAAAGGGGTAAAAAGGGGCAGATGGGAGCACGCAGCCCAGAGTTTTCCAGCATCCTTGCCACTTCCCCCAGGCCCCACTGAACTTTAACCACTCCTCCGTACATTGGGGCTTCTTGGACAGCGAGCTCAGCACCCCAGCTAGAGTACAGATGTGGCTGGGCCCCTCCGAAGGGGCCAGCGGTGTTGCAGAGGCACTAAAACACCCTCATTACGACAACTACATCATCTCTGTGAGGGTTCTAAGTCTGATCCTTGCAGACCTCAGCTTCTCCAGCTCTACTGTCCTGGTCAATGTGACACTGCACATCCAGCTTTGCCCCGGCCCCACCAACATCTTCCAGGGCTCAGTGGATCCATTTCTGACCAAGGCCTTCATACCTTTCTCCTTCTGCCCCTTGGCTGTTGCTGCCATGCTAATTTTAACCAAGTTATCACTCTTATTTCTCCCTCATTCTGTCTCTGTCTTCTGTTCATCAGAACTTGAGGCTACCACCTTCAGGAAGCCCTCCCAAATGAAGTCTATCCATTTTCTAATTGTTAGTTATTTCTCAGCGACCAGGAAATTCCAACCACCAAATAAAATGCCACATTTGGTAGGACTAAAAAGTGGCTTTAAAAAAAAAATGTGGCTTAAGCCTCTTGAGTGAACTGAAGAAGTGGGAGGCAAGAGGACCCTTATAGATATCTAGCCCAATTCTGTCCATTTCCAGAAGACCAGGGAGTCTCCCTCTCACCATCTTCTGCCTCCCAGCCCAGAGCACTTCCAGCTACATCATGACACAGCCCCTAAAATGAGAAAGTTGAATTACTGAATCCCAGGAGCGTGGCGACTCATATGGTTAGGGCTGCATCTGTAGCATACTGGATATAAGAAAGGAAGCACTGGATTCATTGGAACCTAAGATTTTAGGCCCTGCTGAGCACACCTCACCACCTGTGACACCCCAGAGGGGCAGATCTCAGCCCTGACCCCCAGTGCCTCTGTGAACACTGGGAGCATGGTAGGGCTGAAGCTCCTTGCTGAAGTCTTAAGTGGCTGCACAGATCTGGACAACTACAGCCTGAGTGTCCCTGTGGGATGCAGGAGCCCTGTCTGGCTCCAGCCCGAAGTAGGTCAGATTTCAGATAAGCGGGTGATTTTCCTGTAAGTGATGAAACCTTCTCTGTGCTTAATGAGAAACAGACTCCTCAACTTACCCCAGCACACAAAACCAGAAGCTTGGTGAGGTTTCTAACTTCTGCCTCTTCCTTCCCATCCCCAGGTCTCCACCACATACCTCAAATGCCCCAATGGCCTTAGCCTCCCCTCTCTGTCACCAGGACTGCCAAACACTAATTCTTCCCAATGTTTTCCAGCAACAGTACACTCAAGAGTCTATTTCTGGTCAACAGCTCCTCCACCTGACATCCAAGGCTCTCTTGCAGGAGTTTCCTCAACGCTACTTTCCTGCAGGAAACCACAGCAGCTAAGCCCTACTGGAATCCTGATACCCTTAGCCGTATTTTTCAGTGGTGGTTTGCAGTATGAGTTGCACATTGTTTTTGGAATTATGCCATCTGTCTTGTCACTTCTGAGCATCACAGTGCATTACAGATAATTGGAGTCTATAGACCCTGTACCTCCTTTCTTCAACAAAGGCTAGGGCTCTGGACGTCTCCAAGGGTATCTCTGGCACCCAAGTTCAATGTGAAGCTTCCAAACCAATCCAGACCAATGGACTACCAGTGTCAATCTGAATCATCTTTAGGGACAGGGATTTTGCCACTTTACCTCTTGCTGGATAGGATTTTTATGTCTGACAACTATTTTGTGCTACTGAAAAAACCTCCTGACTTCACCCAGTCTCCAGAGGTGCCTGAGATAAGCAATACATATTTGGGACCACAGGTCTCTCTGAAAATCATCCCACCTCATATAAAGTTGTGCATACCATTTCTAGGGTTTTCAATGGCCACAAACACAGCTAGACGGTGGATACAGAGAAAAAATAGCAAAGGAATCAGGCAGCTCAAGATCATTTGGAAGGTGCTTTACACAAGGTAAACACAAATCCAGAGACAGGGCAGGCAATGTTTGTCAGACTGAATGTTTTATTTCAACAGACATCCCTGGTTTAAAAAAAAAAAAAAAGTGGTGGTGGGGAGGGTTCAACATTTCATCACACCTGACAGGGAGCAAAACTCCCATCCCAGAACTCAGAGCCCCTTCAGAGGCATCACACAAGTCTTTGCTAGCTCCAGGACAGACAGGAGCTGAATTTTCTAACTTGTTAAGAAAAATCTATCAAATGTGTTCATTCTCGCAGAGGCGAGGGCTGGGTCCTTGGGGAAAGAGATCCTGGGCTTAGAGCAGCTGCTGGGGTCCCAGAGGTGAAGCTGGGGGCCAGGCCAGCTGGGCTGGCAGGAGATCCTGGGAGCAATCAGTTCCAGAGCCCTAGAATCCATATTTGGCTTGGGTCTGACGGCGGCTGAGCTTGTTCTCCGACCAGGTGTTCTTCAGTTCCAGCTCCCGCTCCTTGGCCTGTGGCAAGGAAGAAGGGGAGGGGAGGGTCAAACCGGAATTCTGAGAAACGCTGTCCTCTTGCCTCTGTGAGCTTCCCAATGTATAATCTTTCTCCTATCAAAATGATTATGGGGAAACTGTAAACTCCTTGAAAGACTTATCGAAGTAAAAGGGGAAGACCCCAAGAAAGCAAAGAAAAATCATTTCTTTGGAGACTTATCAAGGTTTAAGCAGAATAAAGACTCAAGAATCCTGGTGCTTCCTCTAGTAGAATTAAAACTCAAAAGCTGAAGTGGGAAATGGGCAAATGAAAACTAGAATTTAGCATCTAAAAGGAAGAAAATCTGCTGCCTTAGACACCCAACCGGCAGAGTAGGAGAGGACAGCCTCAAAGGCTTGGACCAGTCAAAACAGAACACCAACAAACAATTGCTTAGCCTGGAGATGCAGTTTTGCAATTGTGTTGAAAACAGCGTGTAGTACCTTAGAAATTCAAACGATTTTAAAGTAATGACTGAAGCTGTGAAAAACTAGGAGGTGGCCGGGCACAGTGGCTCAAGCCTGTAATCCCAGCACTTTGTGAGGCCGAGACGGGCGGATCACAAGGTCAGGAGATCAAGACCATCCTGGCTAACACGGTGAAACCCCGTCTCTACTAAAAAATACAAAAAAAAAAAACTAGCCGGGCGAAGTGGCAGGCACCTGTAGTCCCAGCTACTCGGGAGGCTGAGGCAGGAGAATGGCGTGAACCCGGGAGGCGGAGCTTGCAGTGAGCCGAGACCACACCGCTGTACTTCAGCCTGGGCGACAGAGCAAGACTCCATCTCAAAAAAAAAAAAAAAAAGACAGTTTTATTCTATCTTATCTGCATTGAGACTGAAGCAGAGCAGGATAATTCTGAAGGATGTATCCCCTCCTAGTGGCCACTCTGAGAACAGCAGAGGATGCCTGCTAAAAGATGGTCCCTGGCATCTGGGTTTCTAACTCAAATTCAGCCTTCAAATTACCAGATTTACAGAGATCCTGCCTGAGCCAGAGCCCTCAGCTCTCTCTCACCTGATGAATAAGATATGTGATCTGGTGTTTCCGCCGCTGCTGGCCTGTTGGCTGCTCACCTTTCTTCTGCAAGAGAAGAAAACATACTCATTAACCCACAGGATGAAAGCAGAAGTTCCTCACGTGCCCAGATGGTGTGGTATTAGGGACTAAAAGCCAATTCCGCAGCCCAGATCCTGGGGGAGAAAAGTTGGAGCTGTTTTTACCTCTATATACTTACAAAGCCTTTATTTTTATTAAAGCCATTACACCAAAAAACCCAGCTCAGAACACTTGCCTGAAATAGCCTGCTAATATCCCCCACTAGACTGGAACTACTTTGAGGTCAGGACTGTCTTCTGCGTCTTTGGTAATCCCACCCTACCCCTAGCACCCAGCATGGGGCTCTGTCTGCTATGGACATCTGAGACCAGTTTTACTGCCTGCAATCAGTCTGAAACAGTTTGTGGGCCAGGGCACAGGTGACCTTCTGCCCCCCTGCCAGGTCCTCCCACAATCCCTGTGCCCATCTCCCTTCAAACCCTCTTCATCTCTGTCCTCTTCTCCCCAGTCAAGCCAGATGTCTAGCCTGTCTCCCACCTACTGCTTATCAAGCTCGCTCCCATCAATCACCTCTGGCTAAAACCCCCACCTTCCCCATTCTAGTAAGTGCCAGCAGTTTCCCTGGAATTAGAAATTTCACAATCACTCTACCTCTCCCCAGTCTTCCAGCCTCCGCCCGTAACTGCACTGAACCCGTAACCAAACTTTGATGCAAATGATTTACTGTCAAAGTCTATATTGGTCTGGGCTTTCATTCTGTGGTTTTTCTGTCCTCTGCCAGAGTTGTCTCAGACTAGAAGCTTCCTAATCATCTCCACCCAACTCCCAAAACTCCTCTCTAGAGTCTCCTCAGCACTTATGTAATCAATTTGCACTGTAATCATTTACACTCAAGTGTCCTTAAATCTCTTCTTCCCAACTATGCTGTCAACTCCTCAAGGACAAGGACCATATCTTTTTCTTCTTTTAACAAAATCTAGTTCAATATAATGAGACGGTGGCAAGAAAACTTGGAGATAGGAAAAGAGCAAATACTAATTGCTTGCTGCTATTTAATGTCATTTAATGTGACAGTTAAAGATGACATACATAAAACATCCAGCTCCATTCCTGGCCCACAGTGAGCATTAACAACAGTAGCTATTACTATGTGACTATGCTTCTCGACCCACAGTTGGTAGAGCATGCTCTCCTAAGTGGTTTTTCCAGTAAACAGTGATGGATCTACGCTGATCTAACCACAATCCTTTGCTCTGTCCTGTATGACCGCCAGCATTCAGTTAAAACAAACGGCTGGAGCTTGTATGGCCATCTGTGGCCATAGAACAAAGCAAAGCAAATGGGGGGAGGAAAAGGGAACAAAATCCTCGACCTTGGCCTTGCTGGTGCTGGGCTCAAGTCCAGGGCTTTCCCACATTTTCCCTCCTGTGGCAGGCTCATAAATGTCCACATTTGCTGTTCTCAGCTACTAGGTGAAGAAATGTTCATCATACTGACTAAAGACAACTAGGACAGAAAAGGCAGGAGTATAGTGTGGGAAATGTGATGAATAAAGGCACTGGAAAGACTACAGCTGGCTACAATCAATAATGAAGAGAACACAGAAGAGTTGCACACTCAGAATCCAGGGACTCCAGGATTTCTGAGGTTCTGTTGTGCTCACACCTCAAAGATGTGCTGAGCCAGGTCCCAGCTTGAAACAATGAACTAACTGGGGCCGGGTATAGTGGCTCATGCCTGTAATCCCAGCACTTTGGGAGGTCAAGGCCAAGGTGGGTGGATCACTTGAGGCCAGGAGCTCAACACCAGCCTGGACAATATGGTGAAACCCCAACTCTACAAAAAAATACAAAAATTAGATGGGTATGGTGGCATGCACCTGTAGTCCCAGCAACTCAGGAGGCTGAGGTGGGAGGATCACTTGAGCCTGGGAGGCAGAGGTTGCAATGAGCTGTGACTGAGCCAGTGCATGCCAGACTGGGCAACAGAGTGAGACTCTGAAAAACAAAACAAAACCAAAAAAAACCACCACCAAAAAATGAAAACAATTGGAACGAAGAAAGGAGAAAAGGAAGAAGGGAGGGAAGGAGGGAAGCAAATGAAGAAGATAGTATTTTAAAAGAATAAAAATTAAAACAAAGAAAAGCAAAAAACTTTAAATCAAGAAAAGAAAAGAAGGATCTGACTGTAGGGAAAGAGTAGAGTAGCTGTGGATTCTGTGCAGCCTGGGAAGGAGCCACAGCCACAGGCTGGAGTCCTCTCCAACTACTCAGTCTCAGCAACCAGACCTCCCATCCAGCTGGAGAGCTGTTAAACTCCCGCAAAGTTCTAGAGGGAAGGAGCTGCTGTATCTGTGAGGTTTGCTGCATACTCAAGTACCATAGGCAAAATGTGTTTACTAAAGGTGCTGTGACAATAACAATGGGGTGTGGGGTCTAGACGGGGAGTAAGACGAGATTTTGCTTTGCAGCCTCCCAAGTTGACCACTCAATAGACCGTTCCCACTTACTTTGCTGAATGACTTCATGGTTTTCTCTTCTGTCAATGACTTAGTCATCCATTGCTGGGCCCCACTGAGCTGGTCATCACCTTTAATCTCCACAAAGTTGATTTCTTCTCTCCCTCGGTTTCTCTTGCCCTGCAGCCGCTTAAACTAGAAAAGAAAAAATGCAGGAGTCAGGAATCTGGGCAAGGGGGTCGGCAGATGTCACTAAAGAGCCAGAGTTTATGGAATGATTTTGTGACTCACCAATCCCAAGGCACCCTCAGTTCTTCTCTACGTCCTTTTACCTGCCACCTACCAAATTCCCTTGATGCCAGATGAAAGGCTACTTGTACTCAGAACGTCTCTTGAACCCAGGAAAAGGGAAGCTAAGAGGTATCTCCAAACATGAATGACAACAGAGAACCAGTGGTATGAATTTGTACTCAAACAGTATCTGTCTACCACTATGCAATATATCCATGTAACAAACTGGCACATGTACCCCTGAATCAATTTTATTTTTAATATCTGCCTAAAAGGACTGCATACAATTTTCAAATTAATAATTCAGGGCAGGCGCCGTGGCTCAAGCCTGTAATCCCAGCACTTTGGGAGGCCAAGACGGGCGGATCATGAGGTCAGGAGATCGAGAACATCCTGGCTAACCAGGTGAAACCCCGTCTCTACTAAAAAATACAAAAAAACTAGCCGGGCGAGGTGGCTGGCGCCTGTAGTCCCAGCTACTCGGGAGGCTGAGGCAGGAGAATGGTGTAAACCCGGGAGGCAGAGCTTGCAGTGAGCTGAGATCCGGCCACTGCACTCCAGCCTGGGCGACAGAGCGAGACTCTGTCTCAAAAAAAAAAAGAATTCAGAGCAGGCCGGGAACGGTGGCTCACAACTGTAATCCCAGCACTTTGTTTGGGAGGCCGAAGCAGGCGGATCACCTGAGGTCGGGAGTTTAATACCAGCCTGACCAACATGGAAAAAGCTCGTCTCTACTAAAAATATAAAATCAACTAGGCATGGTGGTGCATACTTGTAATCCCAGCTACTTGGGAGGCTGAGTCAGGAGAATTGCTTGAACCAGGGAGGCAGAGGTTGCGGAGAGCCGAGATTGCACCATTGCACTCTGGCCTGGGCAAGAAGAGTAAAACTCTGTCTCAAAAGAGTTTTCAGACTCAAAAAAATAAAAAAAGAATTCAGAGCAGGCCAGGCAGGGTGACTCACACCTATAATACCAGCATTTTGGGAGGCAAGGGTGGGAGGATCACTTGAGCCCAGGAGTTTGAGACAAGCCTGGGCAATAAAGTGAGACCCCATCTCTATAAAAAAATTAAAAAATTAGCCGGGTGTGGTGGTGCATGCCTGTGGTCCCTGGGAAACACAGCAAGACCTTGCCTCTAAAAAAATAAAATTCCAAGCCCCAAAAAAACACAGAACTCCAGGATTTCTCCTTTAAAAATCAGTTCTTTGTCCATCTCTGTTCCTTCTAATTGTTCGGTATCACCGAATCAACAGACCCCACACCAAATTGGACATCAGAGACAAAGAATGTGGGGCTGCATAGAAAAGGAGCCTCACACACAGAGGCTTAGCTTTAACTTCAAAAGTTTTTAAGGGTAAAGAAAAAAGAAAGCCCAGTAAACTTTCTAGGAGACTGCTACTCTTTCCTCTTCCTGAAAAAACAAAATGCAAACCACACAAGTCATCCAGAGGTGTGCCTCAAAGGGAATGTGGGTGAAGGAGAATAGAATTTTAAAACTCAGAAGCTTCAGTGAGACCCAGGTCCTGATCTCAACATTAGTGAGGCCTTCTATACTCACTCCACCTATAAGAAACTGACTTTTGCCACTAAGTGGGTTCTCAGCTGTCTCCTAGGCTTAGTTGGTTCCCAAAGAAACCAACTATCAAACCTGCCAAGAAGGAGATCCATAGGGAAGTGGATGAACAGTATCAAGCACAGGCAGAAGTATGCAAAGGGATGGACACCTTTCTGGGAAAAGGTAAGCAGAGAAGAATTATTTTTTATAAGAACCTCCATGGAAAGGTAGCACCCCCTATTTCTGCAGATCCCTCCTAATAGGCTGTGACTTCCCTGCAGATAAGATAGAACAGTACTTTATATCCCGAATAACAGCCTGAAAGTAACAGGACATTGTGCTTTTACCCTTCCTTTTGCTGAAGCTTGGGAAAGCTAGCAGCAGGGAGAGACCATTATGTGAAACACAAGGGTTATTTAACATAGCTGCTTGGTGCCTCCCCAGATCCATTCTCCTCTTCTTTAGTGTGAAAGAATCCAAAATTTTTGCTAGGCATATTACCACACAACTAATAAAACACTACATTTCCTAGACCCCCTTAGAACTAGATATGGCCGGCTAGATGCGATGGCTCACGCCTGTAATCCCAGCACTTTGGAAGGCCAAGATGGGCTGATCACTTGAGGCCAGGAGTTTGAGACTAGCCTGAGCCAACGTGGTGAAACCCCATCTTTACTAAAAATACAAAAATTAGTTGGGCATGGTGGCACATGCCTGTAATCCCAGCTACTCCTACTCAGGAGGCTGAGGCACAAGAATCGCTTGAGCCTGGGAGGCAGAGGTTGCAGTGAGCTGAGATCGTGCCACCGTACTCGAGCCTGGGCGACAGAGCAAGACTCTGCTCAAAACAAACAGAAAACAAAAAAAAACCAAACAACTAGCTATGGTCACTTGAGCAGATTCTAGTTAGTGAGATCAAAATGGACGTGCTCTTAGGAACTTTCAGGAAGTCTCCTAGAAAGGGAGGTGAAGTGTTCCTCCTCTTTCTTTCTCTACCCTGCTGCATCTTCAATGCCAGTGTGATGGCTGTAGCTTTAACTGCTATCATGGACCGTAAGAATAAAGGCCACAGCCTAGGGATGGCAAAGCAATGATCAGAAAGAGACTGAGGCCAGGCATGGTAAATCACACCTGTAATCCCACCACTTTGGGAGACCAAGGCAGAAGGATTGCTTGAGCCCAGGAGTTCAAGTGCAGCCTGGGCAACAAGCAAGACCCCGTCTCTACCCAAAAAAAAGAGACTAGATCCCTGACTCTGTGGAGCTTCCAAAGCACCCCTGTATCCTTCTTCCATGAAGAAAAAAACTAACTTGCTTTATATAAGCCACTATTAATTAGAGTTTCTCCGTTACACGTTGCCAACCTAATCCTGATACAGTTTTGTCGTGTGTGTGTGTGTGTGTGTGTGTGTGTGTGTGTGTATGTGTTTTAATTTCCTTTGGCTTCAGATTTGAAACATGGTGTCCAGGGGTCAAAGATGGTCACTTGTGCTTTGTTAACTTACTGCTTCGTCATCGATGAAGGAGGCATCTGGGGCAATTTCCTGGGGTGGGACCAGGGCCGGGTCCTGTGCAGGATAGTAGCCACCACTGTAATAATCCTGCAGCCAAACAGGAAAGAAAAACACACCAACTGAGGGCACAGTTGGAGAGGGGAAGGTAAGGTCTGTCCAGAAATGGAAAATCATCATCAAAGAGGCAGTGGTGAGATATCCACACTACAGCTTCTTCAAACAGACCAGTTAAAGGCATAGATCCCAAGGACCTACCTATAACTCAAGAACAGTCCCTACAGCTTTTCTCATCTACACTATCCAGACAGATGGATATTTTTTAGGAAAGGGTAACAAGAAATAAAAACTGTCTCTCCTGCTTCAGTCTATACCTTACTCCCTCAGCTACTTCCTAAGAGCGACTCTCACCCCTTACCTCTACCATGCCCTCAGCCCTGCTCCTCCTGCTCATAAGACCCCAGTGAGCTACGATGCGAGCAGGGACAAGAAGGCATATGTCATGCCATTCCTGCTTCTCATTCTAGTTTGGTCCCGTGGATACAGGAAACAGTCTAAACGGGGTGCAGAGGCTATAGATCTCTGATTTAAAATAACCACTATTAGGATACAATGAAACTTACAAAGCTGGGAACAAAGCAGGTTTATTTACCAGATTTTTAGTTCAGGAATCTCATGATTCCCCTTAGAGGTGAGTGGCCCAGATGTTGCAGATCCTAAAGAAGAGGAGGGTGAAGGCAAGGGCAAGGCCCCTGCTTGGCCAAGTCAGGCAGCCACAGGGCCAATAAACTGTTTCCTCCAAGGGCCTACACTTTTTCCTAATTCTTCCACTTCGTCTTAAACTCCAAGAAATGCCCCTCTAAGAATATTCATTTTATGATGAGCTAAATGAAAATAGGTTTAATATTCACCACATAAAAATAATATATAAAAATCCAGAGCAATTAGAGTATGGATTTTTTTAAAATGGTATTCACAATAAGACACATTTAAATTTCAGAGTCCCCTAGTGTATTTAAAGTGCTTTAATTTACATAGATTATCTCAATGGTGTTTATAACTGCACATAAAATTCTAATTTGTTATTCAATTTAAATAGCATCTTTTTTTTTTTCTGCTAAAGAGTTAAAAACACTATCTTTCTCCATCCTTCTTTTTTTTTTGTTTGTTTTTTGAGATGGAGTTTCGCTCTTGTTGCCTAGGCTGGAGTGCAATGGTGCCACCTTGGCTCACTGCAACCTCCGCCTCCTGGGTTCAAGTGATTCTCCTGTCTCAGCCTCCCATGTAGCTGGGATTATAGGCGCATGCCACCACGCCCAGCTACTTTTTGTATTTTTACTAAAGACGGAGTTTCATCATATTGGTCAGGCTGGTCTCGAACTCCTAACCTCAGGTGATCCACCCACCTTGGCCTCCCAAAGTGCTGGGATTACAGGCGTGACCCACCGGGCCCAGCCTATCTTCCTCCATCCTTCTAACAACAACCTTAAGGGCAGATATACTATCTCTGCTCGGCCTATATGAAACAACAAGGCTTAACAGCAAAGATTTAGGAAACACAATTGTTTTCAAAGTATTTGGTCAGAACAGGTTCTCCACAAAGCCCTCCCTCTTCACTCATGCCCGGATTGAAAACAATAATGCTGACCATTCAGAGAATCACAGTGGTTGAAGGGACTTAAGTCTTCCAACCATCCCAGGCCAGCAGTTTTTAAACTTGCTGAAGCTGCCCAGTTATGGGGCCAGCAAGCTGCCTCTGTTCAACTCCACCACTGGTGCCAGGTCCCCCAGCTCCTGCTCCTAGGAGCCCTCTACAAATTGGGAAGCTCTGACTGCTAGGAATTATCTCTTAAACCTACTTACAACCTGGCATTCTATACTTTTACTCTCTGAGGTCATACGGATCAAATCTAAATATCTCTTCCAAACAACAGGTGAATACAACATGAATAAAAAGTTACAATCAGCATTTATTGAACATTGACTATTTTCCAGGAACCACCATGCTAAACTAATGTAATTATTTTAGCAATGCTTTGAGTTGCTCTGATATCCCATTTTAACCTAAAGAACCTGAGACTGAGAGGCGGTTAAGTAACTTGCCCAAACTCAGCTTGAGATTCAAACCTCAAATCACGCTCACGATTCTCTTTATTCTTTTTTTTGGGGGGTGGGGGGGTGGTGAGGGGATTCTCTTTATTCTTATTTTGCACTCAACCCTCCAGATTCCATTCTTTCCTCTTTGGCCCCAACTGTCCCTTCCTGTTTTTCTCAATACTCCTCACCTCTAGAAACTCTTCTTAGACTAACTGCTATCTAGAAGTCTATGCCATAGATTCCCTTATCTTCATTATCCACATTTCAGGAAGCTATCTTGTAACTCCAAGATTAGATACCAGTCCTCTTCGCCTTCCCTTCATACCTCTCATCAGCTCCCACAATCAGATTTTGTTTTCAACATAGGGGAAGTGCTCCAGGACACTGGTCTAGGCAAAAATTTTACAGCTAAAACCTCAAAAGCACAGACAATAAAACCAAAAGTCGGCGGGGTACGGTGGCTCACACCTGTAATCCCATCACTTTGGGAGTCCAAGGCGAGCAGATCACCTGAGATCAGGAGCTCCAGACCAGCCTGACCAACATGGTGAAACCCAGTCTCTACTAAAAATACAAAAATTAGCCAGGCGTGGGGCAGGCGGGTATAATCCCAGTTACTCAAGAGGCCTGAGGCAGGAGAATCGCTTGAACTCGGGAGGTGGAGGTTGCAGTGAGCCAGGATCACACCACTGGACTCCAGTCTGGGTGACAGAGCAAGACTCCATCTCAAAAGTAAAAAAAATTAAAAATTAAAAATAGGCAGGGTGCGGGAGCTCACGTCTGTAATCCCAGCACTTTGGGAGGCCCAGGTGGGCAGATCATTTGAGGTCAGGAGTTCAGGTCCAGCCTGGCCAACATGGTGAAACCCCGTCTCTACTAAAAATACAAAAAAAATTAGCCGGGCGTGGTGGCACATGCCTGTAATCCCAGCTACCCAGGAGACTGAGGCAGGAGAATCGCTTGAACACAGGAGGCGGAGGTTGTAGTGAGCTGGGATCGCACCACTGCACTCCAGCCTGGGCGACAGAGCAAGACCCTGTCTCAAGAAAAAAATTAATTAATTAATTAATTAAATAAAAACAATGCCCAGGCGCAGTGGCTCTCGCCTGTAATCCCAGTACTTTGGGAGGCTGAAGTGGGCGGATCACCTAAGGTCGAGACCAGCCTGACCAGCATAGAGAAACCCGCCTCTACTAAAAATACAAAAAATTAGCCAGGTGTGGTGGCGCATGCCTGTAATCCAAGCTACTCGGGAGGCTGAGGCAGGATAATCACTTGAACGTGGGAGGCGGAGGTTGTGGTGAACCGAGATCGCGCCGTTGCACTCCAGCCTGGGCAACAAGAGCGAAACTCCGTCTCTAAATAAATAAATAAATAAAAATACAAAAATTAGCCGGGTGTGGTGGCAGGCACCTGTAATCCCAGCTACTCAAGGCTGAGGCAAGAGAATCTCTTGAACCTGGGAGGCAGACGATGCAGTGAGCCGAGACTGCACCACTGCACTCCAGCCTAGGCGACAGAGCGAGATTCCATCTTGGGGGAAAAAACAAAACAAAACAAAAAAACACACACACACAACCAAACTTCGACAAATGGCACTATATTAAACCAAAAAGCTTCTGTATAGCAAAGGAAACAACAGAATGAAGAGACAACATGTAGAACGGGAGAAAATATTTACAAACTATCCATCTGACAAGGGACTATATTGTGGAATATACAAGAAACTCAAACTTAACAATTAAAATAATAATAATTTCATGAAAAAGTGGGCAAAGGATCTGAATAGACACTTCTCAAAACAAGTAATAGAAATGGCCAAGATCTATATCTTTAAATGCTCAACATCACTAATTATCAGGGAAATACAAATCAAAACTACAATGAGATACCATCTCACACCAGTCAGAATGGCTATTATTGCAAAGTAAAAAAATAACAGATGCTGGCAAGGTTGTGGAGAAAACGAGAACACTTATACACTGGGGATGGGAATGTAAATTAGTTCAGCCACCATGGAAAGCAGTTTGGAGATTTCTCAGAGAACTTAAAACAGAGCTACCATTCAACCCAGCAACTCCATTACTGGGTATATACCCAAAGGAATATAAATTATTCTACTGTAAAAACACATGCACACATTTCATCACAGCACTATTCGCAATAGCAAAGACACAGAACCAACCTACCTGCCCATCAACAGTGGACTGAAAAAAGAAAATGTGGTACACATATACCATGGAATACTACACAGCCATAAAAAAAGAACAAAATCATGTCCTTTGCAGCAGCATGGATGGAGCTGGAAGCCATTAAGCAAATTAACACAGAAACAGAAAACCAAATACCACGTTTTCACTTATAAATGGGAACTAAATACTGAGTACACATGGACACAAGGAAGGGAACAATAGACACCAGGGCCTACTTGAGTGTGAAGGGTGAGGATCAAAAACTACCTATTACGGCCAAGTGCGGTGGCTCACACCATAATCCTATCACTTTAGGAGGCTGAAATGGACAGATCACTTAAGGCCAGAAGTTTGAGACCAACCTGGTCAAATGGTGAAACCCGTCTCTACTAAAAATACAAAAATTAAATTAGCAGGCATGGTGGAATGTGCCTGTAGTCCCAGCTATTAGGGAGGCTGAAGAGGGAGAGTTGCTTGAACCTGGGAGGTAGAGGTTGCAGTGAGTCAAGATCGTGCCACTGCACTCCAGCCTGGGCAACAGAACAAGACTCCATCTCAAAAAATATAAAATACAAATACAAAAATTAGCGGGGCGTGGTAGTGGTGGCACACACCTGTAGTCCCAGCTACTCGGGAGGCTGAGGCAGGAGAATCACTTGAACTCAGGAGGCAGAGGTTGCAGTTGAGCCAAGATTGCACCACTGCACTCCAGCCTGGGCAACACAGATTCTCTCTCAAAAAAAAAAAAAAAAAAAATCTGTACACCAAACCGCTGTATCATGCAATTTACCCATGTAACAAACCTGTATACGTACCTTCTGAACCTAAAATAAAGGTTAGGAAGAAAAAACCAGAGATAGATATATATATATATCAATCACAAATATGTACAAATATTATGGATCAATAAACAATAAATAGATTGTTTTCAAAATAAAGGTGTCATTTATGTGGTTCACCCTGTCAGACTTCAAGACTTGGGCAATTTAGATTAATATGGTTCAGAATACAGGTATGTTCTGCGGCCTAATAAATTAAGCCAAAGTGACACCACAGAGGCTGTATCACTAGCTCAAAGCTCTCCTTGACCACCATGTTCCAATATTCCCTCGCCTGCCCTCTGTGCCTCCTACCCACCTGATAATAAGCACCAGCAGCATTGGCATCGCCATACGTGGAAAACTGATTGTAGCTGTAGTCATCCCCAGGCTTAGGCATCCAAGGGGCCCCACTTGAGCCTGCTGCCATCTTGAATTCAAGGGGGGCATTGGCTGCATCGTCCTGGAAAGCCGGCTCTGGTTCCGTGCCTGGAGGCAGCTCTTCAGGGACAGTGGGGATGGGGTAAGGGTATGGCTCAACTCCAGGTGGCTCGGCCTTTTCAGGGAGGGAGAAAAAGTTTTCGGGGGCTACTTCCTCATCACTGTCGTCTTCCTCCTGCGTGATCTGCTTTGTCACCTGCAGGGCAGCACTCTTGGCAGCAGCCTTGATAGCAGAGGGCGACGGAGTGGTGGTTGTGGTGCCCACAACAGGGGCAAGAGAGGAAGTCTTGGTCTTAGAAGCCAGTCTGGAGGGCTTAGTATCAGGGGAGCCATCCGAGGGTTTGCGGGAGAAGGCATGGGGCAGGAGCAACCTGTTAGTCTCTTTCACAGTCAGGTTTTTAGGTTGGGGAAGCAAGGCAGACAAACCAGTCCCCTCGCCGGATCCCTGGTGAGCCCAGGTTTGGGGTAGGAGGAAAGAAAGATGACAAGTGAGATTTTATGTACTACCAATACCAAAAACAACAATTACAGATAAGTTCTCTAGCCTAAAGTCTTACCAGCCCTTGTTTCCTCCTTACTTCCATCCACTCAGACCACCCAATCTGGGCTTGACTCCTGCTACCTCAGACCTTTCTTCGGGCTGCTTCTCCCAAGGTGAGGTATCATTCTTCTTCTCTTCCATCCCAACCCAGCTCCACTGCCCTCTTCCACAGAGCGAGCCTTCCTCAACTCTGTGTCTTCAACAAATACGATGCTCTTAACCTCACATCATCCTTCCTCCCAAAAAGCCCAGGTCTCTCCAGCTCATCACTCAACCTCTCTCCATGTCCTGAAGGGACCTCTTAACACAAGAGCCCTCGCCTTCCTTCGGAACACTACCCAAAATCAGGAACCAGGCTCTGTCCAAAAGAGACATTCATACTGCTGCCAGAAGTTCCCTCCCGGCCAGGCGCAGTGGCTCACGCCTGTCATCCCAGCACTTTGGGAGGCTAAGGTGGGCAGATCACGAGGTCAGAAGCTCCAGACCAGCCTGACCAACATACTGAAGGCCCGCCTCTACTAAAAATACAAAAATTAGCTGGGCATGGTGGCCGGTGCCTATAATCCCAGCTGGGCCCTGTAATCCCAGCTACTTGGGAGGCTGAGGCAGGAGAATTGCATTGAACCCAGGAGGCGGAGGTTGCAGTGAGCCAATATCATACCACTGTACTCCAGCCTGGGTGACAGAGTGAGACTCCGTCTCAAAAAATAAAATAAATAAATAAATAATAGTCCCTTTGCCTAATCAAGGGAGAAAGCTAACCCTGAGCAAGACCCCTCGGCAGTGCTAATGGTGCCTTAGAAAGACTGGAGGCCCAGCACGCTCAACAAGGAAGCAGTGAGTCCAGAGACTGCAAGGTGCCTCACACAGCTTTTTCCAACCCTTTAAATTGCTCTCCTTGTCACCATCCCCAGAGCACAGGAAACAGGATTTCCTTTGTCTTTTCTTTCCCCCCTTAGATAGGAACCTGAAGCCTCAGTGTGGATGGAGCAGCTCCCTCAGGACTTAAGTGCTAAAGGTATATTTTTTTTTTTTTTTTTTTTTAGTCGGAGTCTTGCTCTATCACCCAGGCTGGTGTGCAGTGACATGATCTCAGCTTACTACAACCTCCACCTCCCAGGTTCAAGCAATTCTCTGCCTCAGCCTCCCGAGTAGCTGGGATTACAGGGGCCCAAACCATGCATGCCTGGCTAATTTTTTTTTTTTTTTTGAGACGGAGTCTTGCTCTGTAGCCCGGGCTGGAGTGCAGTGGCCGGATCTCAGCTCACTGCAAGCTCCGCCTCCCGGGTTTGCGCCATTCTCCTGCCTCAGCCTCCGGAGTAGCTGGGACTACAGGCGCCCGCCACCTCGCCGGGCTAGTTTTTTGTATTTTTAGTAGAGACGGGGTTTCACCGTGTTAGCCAGGATGGTCTCGATCTCCTGACCTCATGATCCGCCCGTGTCGGCCTCCCAAAGTGCTGGGATTACAGGCTTGAGCCACCGCGCCCGGCCTAATTTTTGTATTTTTAGTAGAGACGGGGTTTTACCATCTTGGCCAAGCTGGTCTTGAACACCTGACCTGTGATCCACCCCCTCGGCCTTCCAAAGTGCTGGGATTACAGGCGTGAGCCACAGCGCCTGGCCTAAGGGTATTTTTCAGTTACAACCATAGAATCCTACATTAGCTGACTGAAAGGGTTTTTGTAAGATCATCTTCAGTTCTTTTCAGACTTACTCAGCTTGCAAATTTCCCTAATCTAAGACATTACTGCTTTTTACAAAAATATGTAATTTTAGCATGTTTAGTGCCATCATACATACAGAAGTAGTTTTGTCAGCCAGAAATGAGTATATATATGCTGCATTTTTTTAATCTGAAGAAAGTCCCCTACCCTACCCAAGGAAGGCCCTATAGATGTGGCATATTAGCTTGTTAATGCCAGAGTCAAGCATTTAACTTTTGATCTGTAAGCTAATTGGCCCAGCCCATTCAGAGTTCCTATTACCCAAAATAATCTCTGATTCTGCTTTCTCTATGCTAAAAGGCCAGCTTGGCCTAACTGTAGAGCCGAGGGAAATGACAATTGGAAAAACAGAATGGATATGGTCACTGTGTCACTGTCTTAGAGTACCTGTGTACTCCAGCCTTCCCAGCCAAGAAATGCCCAGAGTGAATAAGACATTTGAGTCAAGCCACACACAACTGCTCATCTGGAGAATGGGCTCTTCTTGCTGTGTGTGTGTTCACAAATTTGGGTTAGTCCAGCCTGGCGGCGCCCAGGGACTCCGGTTCATAGAAACCAGACGGAGGTATGGGGCGGAGCACACCCTCAGGCTACCTTTGAAGTGTCTGACTTATCAGATATCTGGGGTCATGGCTACAACACTTTGCAATCCTAGGTCCCCACTCTGCCTTAAGAGCTCACAATTCCTCTGTCTACTCATTTCTTCCTACCACCTGGAAGACTGTTCTTTACAGTCTTTAGTCTTACAGTGCGGGCGCCTTCTGAGCCAGTCCACCTCCTCCAGGAAGCTATCCTGGTAACAGGACTGCCTTTGCTCAGTCTCAGCATGCTAGCGTCGTCCATGACTCCTTTTTCATCCACTATAAATGCAAACACCAGCCTCACCAGTTATCTTTCTAACTTCCACACAACTACGTCCTTCTAAGACCGCTCAGAGGTGGAAGCAACATTTAACCGAGTCAGGAGAAGGGGCAGCTTCGTACCATATACTTGAATCACACTATTTTATTTATTTTATTTTATTATTTATTTATTTATTTATTTATTTATTTATTTATTTTTGACAGAGTCTTGCTCTGTTGCCCAGGCTGAAGTGCAGTGGCACAATCTCAGCTCACTGCAACTTCCGTCTCCCGGGTTCAAGCGATTCTCCTGCCTCAACCTCCCAAGTAGCTGGGACAACAAGCACCCGCCACCACACCTGGCTAATTTTTGTATTTTTAGTATAGACCATGTTGGTCAGGCTGGTCTCAAACTCCTGATCTCAGGTGATCTGCCTGCCTGGACCTCCCAGTGTTGGGATTACAGGTGTGAGCCACCGTGCCAGGCAAGACAGCCACTTTATACGATCAACATCAGGTTAGAATATATAAATCACCAAGTGTGGAAGGAATGGGAAGAAACTCCTGGGGGCCAGGATAATGGTACTGAGATGAGGGGAAACAGAAGCAAACAGCAGGGAAATCATCTACTAGCACTGTCTTGTTGAGGACTTCTGGTTTCAATTACAAGGAGCTAAGTGCAGCAGTTAAGAGCTTGGACTCAATACTGGTCAGGCGCGGTGGCTCACGCCTGTAATCCCCGCACTTTGGGGAGGCCGAGGTGGGCAGATCACCTGAGGTCGGGAGTTTGAGACCAGCCTGACCAACATGGAGAAACCCCGGCTCTACTAAAAATGCAAAATTAGCCAGGTGTGGTGGCGCATGCCTGTAAACCCAGCTACTCAGGAGGCTGAGGCAGGAGAATCACTTGAACTAGGAGGAGGAGGATATGGTGAGCCGAGATCACGCCATTGCACTCCAGCCTGGGCAACAAGAGAGAAACTCCGTCTCAAAAAAAAAAAAAATTGCGGCGACACGGGAGCGCGCGCGGGCGCGTACGGGAGGGGGCGGGTGGGGAAGGATCGCCGGCGAGATTACGAGGCGAGGCGAGGCTCGTAAGCCCGCCCCCGCCCTGGCCCCCAGTGCCCACCCGGTCGGCCCGGCACAGCCATGATCAAGGCGATCCTAATCTTCAACAACCACGGGAAGCCGCGGCTCTCCAAGTTCTACCAACCCTACAGTGAAGATACACAACAGCAAATCATCAGGGAGACTTTCCATTTGGTATCTAAGAGAGGTGAAAATGTTTGTAATTTCCTAGAAGGAGGATTATTAATTGGAGGATCTGACAACAAACTGATTTTTTTTTTTTTTTTTTTTTTTTTTTTTGAGACGGAGTCTCGCTCTGTCGCCCAGGCTGGAGTGCAGTGGCCGGATCTCAGCTCACTGCAAGCTCCGCCTCCCGGGTTCACGCCATTCTCCGGCCTCAGCCTCCCGAGTAGCTGGGACTACAGGCGCCCGCCACCTCGCCCGGCTAAGTTTCATATTTTTTAGTAGAGACGGGGTTTCACCGTGTCAGCCAGGAGGTCTCGATCTCCTGACCTCGTGATCCGCCTGTCTCGGCCTCCCAAAGGTGCATGGGGATTACCGAGGGCTTGGAGCCACCGCGCCCGGCCAACAAACTGATTTATAGACATTACGCAACGTTATATTTTGTCTTCTGTGTGGATTCCTCAGAAAGTGAACTTGGCATTTTAGATCTAATTCAAGTATTTGTGGAAACATTAGACAAATGTTTTGAAAATGTCTGTGAACTGGATTTGATTTTCCATGTAGACAAGGTTCACAATATTCTTGCAGAAATGGTGATGGGGGGAATGGTATTGGAGACAAACATGAATGAGATTGTTACACAAATTGATGCACAAAATAAGCTGGAAAAATCTGAGGCTGGCTTAGCGGGAGCTCCAGCCCGTGCTGTATCAGCTGTAAAGAATATGAATCTTCCTGAGATCCCAAGAAATATTAACATTGGTGACATCAGTATAAAAGTGCCAAACCTGCCCTCTTTTAAATAAAAATGTAAAAAGGCCACTCCCAGGTAAAATCCAGGGGGAAGAGTCATCTAAGTTTACCATGCAGTTGTTTACCAAAAATAGAGGAGGAGAGTCTTAACTTTTGCTCTTGGATTTAAGTCAAGGTACTGTATAGAAGTTGTGTAAAATCAGTATGAAAGTTCAATGTTGCTTTTCTTGCTCAGTGATTTTAAAGAAATTGAGTAGTTCCTATGTGATTTTTTTTTTTTCTTTTCTAAACTGCATTCCTGTGCCCACCTACGGCATGCCTCTATGTATTGGCTACTACAGTGTTTTAAAAAGTGTTTCAGATATTTCTTTAATTATGTACAACCTAAAATGTTGGTGTTTTGTGTGGATCACAAGTGCAGCATTCCTTAATTCCTTCTGCTATTTGTCATACAATTGTTATTTAAAGAACCAAGTATGTATTGCATGAAAACATTATGACCTTTTTCTCTTAGTTTAAATAAACTCCAAGGTAACTGGACTTCTAAAAAAAAAAAAAAAAAAAAAAAATTGTCAGATTGCCTGAGTCTGAATCCCAGCTCTGCCCATACTAGTTGTCTGATCTTAGGCAAATTCCTCGTTTCCTCATATGTAAAACAGGGATGATAATACTATGACTTAGGCACTATCATGAGGATGAAATCAATTAAATGCTAGTAAAGCACTTAGAACAGTGCCTAGTACACAGTAAGTGCTATTTAAATGCTTATTTTCTAGGTTAAAAATAAGATAGGGAGAAGACAGACAATTTTAACATCATTTTGACTAATCCACTTATTCTACCCTCCCTAAATAATCCTTTTACACTATATGTAATGAACTGAATTGAGTTACAATTCATCTCCCTACCACTGCCTGTCTTCCAGGAAAGGTAATACCAGCATGTTAAAGCCAGGAACAGAGTGGAGAGGGTATAGATGCACAAGGTCTGAAGTTATAAAGAAAAGCAAAGCCAAACCTAAATAGTCCTCAAATATCTGTGTTTGCTCTAAACCTAATTTGAAAACTGCTGGGTGCTGTAAGTTCTGTCTTTGAGAAAATAATACAGGAAGAGAAAAAAAAATGGTTTATGTCACAATGCTTACCTGAAGGATAGTTTTCTTCTTTGTGGGTTCATCTTCCTCAGAATCTGACTAAGAGAAAAAGAAATGAAGTAAGGCCTCACTGTTTCAGGACAGTAAAGGAAACACATTAAATAAAGCACATAGGAAGGGTTGGACAACAGAGGCCATCTTGTCTGTGCCCCACCTCTGTCAGAGGTACACTCACCCCAGGCCCAGTCAAACAACACAGCTCCCTTCCTGATCTCAAACAGCTTCAGAGAAATCGGGGTATGCCTTGGCCTCCCTTGATTACTCAATTCCCCTGCCCTCGCAGACCTGTTGCACAGCCTTTTTGGCATCAATTTCTTTTCTGTTAAATTAAGACTATCTCCTCCCATTTGGTCCTTGGTGGAAAGGAAAAGCTATACCCATTCTTCTTCCTATAATTCTGTCCACTAGAAGATGAATGGGAATTGGCCTACAATTTCACCCAATCTCAGCTTCACTTTTAAAACCACTTATATAGACTACATAACCACAAAGCTGGGGAACTCCAGTGGGATTGAGTGGTGTGTTAACTACTCCTCTATGAGGCATTAAAGGTCAAAGCCATTGGAGAAATCCATTCCCTCTCCAAGTGTGATCTATTGTCTGACACAGTTGTTCATGCCCAGGAAGAAAGCAGGCAAATGATGATCGTAAGGATCTGGGGCAAGACAGAAGGTCATCTGTGTTATCCTTCTGACTCATCAGGATTGTTTCTAAGACAAGCTCTCATGCTGAAAAATAGCTAAACTTTTAGCTCAATCTCAGTTCCTTGGCATCTTCAAGTCAAGGAGAACCACAAGGCATACGAATAACAAGCTTTAACCTTTTTATTTTAAAAAATTATTCCCCCAGCCATGAAACTTAAAGCTTTCCATTTGTTCCCAGGGCCTTGGTTTGGATATCTGTAAATAAAAAAGTGATTAGGCAAGAATTTCAGATCCCATTCATCTCCAAGATTCTGTGAGAACTCAAATCCTCTGCTGTTCTATACTCGCTCTCATATCTCACAAGTTCCTTTTTGAATTTACCTGTTCCAAGGATCTTTCAATCATAATTACCTATTATATTCAAGACACTGTGCTAAGTACTGTACACAGCATTTCCTAACCAGTGTCCCAGGCAGGGCTTGGCCAGCTAGAGTCCCAGACCACTAGTTTCAGTCTGGACGATTTCCCTCAGTGTGCTTCAAAGATTCCCTGTGTGTGCCATGATATGAAAAAAGTACCTGCCCTCAAAGAATTTACAATCCAGTAAGAATAACAGGTACCCAAATCACTGTAATAAAAGGCAGTACAAGGCCGGGCACAATGGCTCACACCTGTAACTCAGCACTTTGAGAGGCCAAGACAGGTGGATCACCTGAGGTCAGAAGTTTGAGACCACCCTGGCCAACACGGTGAAACCCTGTCTCTACTAAAAATACAAAAATTAGCTGGGCAAAAATTAGGTGGTGGGCGCCTGTAATCCCAGCTACTCGGGAGGCTGAGGCAGGAGAAATGCTTGAACCAGGAAAGCAGAGGTTATAATGAGCCAAGATCTTGCAATCCAGTCTGGGTGACAGAGCAAGACTCTGCCTCAAAAAACAAAATAAAATAAAAATAAAGGGCAGTATAAGATAAGAGCACGAAGTATGGTTCAAACATCCCCTCAATTAGTACTACCATTAAGGAAAACTGTATGGAGGTGCCTTAAGAAAACTAAGAATATAAATTTAGTCAGGTGTGGTGGTACACGCCTGTAGTCCTAGCTACTCAGGAGGCTGAGGTGGGTCACCTGAGCCTAGGAGGTCAAGGCTGCAGCGAGCCGTGATCATGTCACTGCATTCTACCCTGGGCGACAGAGTGAGAACTTGTCTCAAATACTAAAAAAAAATAATAAAAATTTTTTTTTTTTTTTTTTGAAACGGAGTCTCGCTCTGTCGCCCAGGCTGGAGTGCAGTGGCCGGATCTCAGCTCACTGCAAGCTCCGCCTCCCGGGTTCACGCCATTCTCCTGCCTCAGCCTCCCGAGTAGCTGGGACTACAGGCGCCTGCCACCTCGCCCGGATCACTTTTGTATTTTTAGTAGAGACGGGGTTTCACTGTGTTAGCCAGGATAGTCTCGATCTCCTGACCTCGTGATCCGCCCGTCTCGGCCTCCCAAAGTGCTGGGATTACAGGCTTGAGCCACCGCGCCCGGCCTAAAAATTTTTTTAAAATTAACAATAGAATTTACCATATGACAGTGTGGCACGGTGGCTCGCGCCTGTAATCCCAGCACTTTGGGAGGCCAAGGCGGGAGGATTGCTTGAGCCCAGGAGTTTGAGACCAGCCCAAACAACACGGTGAAACCCCGTCTCTACTAAAAATACAAAAGATTAGCTGGGTATGGTGGCACATGCCTGTAATCCCAGCTACTCGGGAGGCTGAGGCAGGAGAATCGCTTGAACCCGGGAGGCGGAGGTTGCAGTGAGCCGAGATCATGCCACTGCACTCCAGCCCAGGCGACAGAGTGAAACTCTGTCTCAAAAATATAAATAAATAAAAATGCAAAAGTTAGCCAGGCGTGGTGACACGTGCTTCTCAGGAGGCTGAGGTACAAGAATTGCTTGAACCCAGGAGGCGGAGGTTGCAGTGCGCTGAGATTGTGTCACTGGACTCCAGCCTGGGTGACAGAGCAGACTGTCTCAAAAAACAAAAAAAGAAAAAAAAATAGACCAGGCATGGTGGCTCACACCTGTAATCCTAGCACTTTGGGAGGCCAAAATGGGAGAATCACTTGAGGCCAGGAGTTTAAGACCAGCCTGGTCAACACAATGAGACCCCCACCTCTAATTTTTTTTTTTTTTTAAAGATGAAATAGAAAATAAAAGAAGGACCTCACTCAGAAATTTTTTACAAAATAAAAATAAATAAAAATTTAAAATAGGCCCAGTCCAGTGGCTTACACCTGTAATCCCAGCACTTTGGGAGGCCAATGAAGGCAGATCACTTGAGGTCAGGAGTTCGAGACCAGCCTGGCCAATATGGTGAAACCTCAGCTCTACAAAAAATACAAAAATTAGCTGGGCATGATGGCGGGCGCCTTTGCCTGTAGTCCCAGTTACTCGGGTGACTGAGGCAGGAGAATTGCTTGAACCCAGGAAGCGAAGGTTACAGTGAGCACCAAGCTTGCGCCACTGCACTCCAGCCTGGGTGACAGAGCGAGACTTGGTCTCAATAATAATAATAATAATACAAATTTTTAAATTTTTAAAATTAAAAATTAGCTGGGCATGGTGATGCACACCTGTGGTCCTAGCTACTAGGGAGGCTGAGGTGAGAGGATCGCTTGAGCCTGGGAAGTGGAAGTTATAGTGAGCCAAAATTACAATGGTAAAAGAATGTACTTCATAGAAGCAGAGCCCAATGGTGGTTACCACTGAGGAGATGATGGTCAAAGGGTACAAAATCTCAGACAGGAAGAAGTCTGAGGGTATTTTTGAGATCTATTGCACAGTATGGTGAATATAGCTAATAATAGTGTATTATACATTTCAAAACTGCTGAGAGTGAATTTCGAATGTTCTCACCACAAAAAAAAATAAGAAGAAGAAGCATTTGAAGTGACAGCTATATTAATTATTCTACAGTATTCATAATTCTTAACATCATCGTGTATCCTATAGGTACAATGATAAACTGTCAACTCACAATAAAAATGTTGCATCCCCTTAAAGAATCTCCTGTTTGTATTTGTGCTTCCTTTCATGTAAGTCCTTCCCCTTGTCACTCCCACCCCTCCCATATCACTGCCACCTCTCATTCTGTTACCAATCTGCATTCTGTACTTCCTGACTCAAAACTCCTGAGAAGTCTCTCTGATGAATCTCACCTTGCTCCTTTTCACTAGGTGTCCCTACATCACTCATTTGTTTAGGGTGGCATCATATTAATTCGGGTTCATTTGTGCCTGCTCTGTAAACATTACATTTTTCACATATATTCTTGCCTTCACTCTGACGGCAAAGGGTATTTCTTTTTTTTTTCTTTCTGTTTTTTTTTTTTTTTGAGACAGAGTTTTGCTCTTGTTGCCCAGGCTGGAGTGCAATGGCGTGATCTCGGCTCACTGCAACCTCTGCCTCCCAGGTTCAAGCGATTCTCCTGCCTCGGCCTCCCTAGTAGCTGGGATTACAGGCGTGTGCCACCACGCCCAGCTAATTTTGTATTTTTAGTAGAGACGGGGTTTCTCCATATTGGTCAGGCTGGTCTCGAACTCCTGACCTCAGATGATCCCCGTCCTCGGCCTCCCAAAGTGCTGGGATTACAGGCGTGAGCCACTGGGCCCGGCCCAGCAAAGGGTATTTCTTATAGTTGAATACTTCCTCCCAGTAGTCAGTACACAATGAGTTTAATTACTAACTGCTATCGAATATATACATATATTTTAAACCCGTAAGGGAAATCCATCTTGGTATCTAAATGTGGGGGATAAAGGAAAGGGTGGCAAAGGAAAGCACAACCATCTACCAAGTGCTTCCTATGTATCAGGCAATTTACTCATTTTTCATTCAATCCTTATAACATTTCAAAGTAGGCATTATTATCATCTCAACCTTATGGCAAAGAAAGTAAGGCTCAGAGAGATAAAATAGGATGGGGCAGAACCAGGATCAGAACCAGTTCTGGTGCCCGTGCTTTTGCGGGAACACCACACTGAGCTGTCTGCTGCCAGGTCTGAGATTCACACTCACTAGATCCCACACGACACAGCTGAGACAGCATGAGGCACAAAATCAGAAGCACTGGTTTGAGTCTCAGCTCTGCCCCTTACTGGCTGAGGGATCCCGCTATTTAACTTCCCCAAGACTAAGGTGCAAATAATACTTACCCATGTCACAACCACAGGAGCTACTGTCAGTGAAAATGATACAAACTAAAATTCTAAACAAAGTTCAAAAAGTATTATTTTATCTGGTTTGCCAAGATATCAAACTCACCCAAGAAAAGACTTAAGCACCTGGCACCTAAGCATTTTCCACCTTTTCTCTCTGTTCTAAACTAACTCTCACTGCCCCTTATAGAC